GTATGGAGACAGGATGCATCCCTGGCGTACATCCTTCCCAATTTTGAACCATGTAGTGTTACCCTGCTCTGTTCTGACTACTGCCTCTTGGTCCAAGTATAAGAGATTTAAGATAACTCAGCAAATAACAGATAGAAGCAATCATTCCCACTACGGCTGTGGAAACAAGGAGGAGAGGATGCTGTCACCTTGAAGAGTTGAGCAGAAGGAAGACTTAGCTCTGCAAATACTAAGCTTTGACTTGTGCAGGGTGTGGTCCGGCAGAAGGAGCAAACCTGGTGTGCAAGGACCTCTGAGGGCATGCCACCAGTGCCTTTAAAAGGGTGCACTGAGCTAGGGAGACCAAAGGATGCTGGACAGTAGAACCAACTGACAGGGATGGGCACCAGGAAGCCATCTCTCTACCTGGATTCTCTGAGATTCACTCATTACACATTTTTAAAGGAAGAACGAGCAAGTTTGATAAATACAGAATTCTAGGCCCAACATCACAGAAGAGAGGACAAAAGAGTGGATTTAAGGTGAGAGACAAGAGGCTCATGTTGTCGCAATCAATGTTAATAAAGAAAGTTACACACATATTTGTCTACCTATAACTCTCAAAAGATGTGGCATTTATGATAATCCTGTCAGACATGCAAATCACAGCTATGAAGACGAAGGTACCAGCTCAACTGTCATCTATAAATACAAAATTTTATTTGCATTTCATTAGTGTAGAAAGACCACAATGCTCTTCAATACCACAACATTCAAGACACGCCAAGTTACTCAAATACATAATTACTTATTTACTTTGACTAAACAAAACAGTGAAATTTAAAAGATATTCTAAATAGTTCACAAATCCATTATCAGATAAAAAAAAATTAAACACTGTTCTAGGCTTAACAGGAATAAGCTCCACCATTAAGGGAAAAAGTTTTATCATTACAAAGGTACAGAATATGTAAGCAAATACATGTATGTTCTTTAATATAGTAAAGTGTATCTCTTTAAAATTCCTTTAAACAGGACTTGTGTAGGGCAGCAGTAGTGCTGTTTTAAAATCTTCTATAGTTTCAAAAACTTTCTGTAGTGAATGTATATAGCTCTTAAAAGTACAAGGTACGCAGATAAGAAATCCTAATGGTGACTCCGCAGCCTTGGGAATTGTAACTATAATATCTTACCATCTATAACACTAATAAATAATCAATGATGGCTATAAGTGGAGCTTTGCTTTGTGCAGAAATAGTCCAGTACTTCAAAGATGCTACCTCTGTGGGGAAAATATCTTGTAAATAAAGAAAAAGCACTTAAGATAGCTTTTTTCAAAAGGCCTATACCCTTTCCATAAATGTTCTTTAACAGTAAGCAAAGCACCACATTATCTCTTCTTATCAGAATATCTTCTGTCCTTATAACATAATGAACAAGGACAATTACAGTATTTATTTAAAGAAATATTATACCTTTTCTTTTTCCCATTCTTCGTATTAGAAACGCTATGTTTCCTAGTGTATGGACACAAGATACTGGGATAAAGAATGAGAGTAATTTGGGGGGAAATATGTAATAACCAAATGATACCCAAAATTGCATATTTGCATATTTACAAGTTAGTATATAGCTTTGACTTAGATTACAAAGTGCGAAAGGAATTGGAAAATGATTGTAGTGCAGAATAGAACATCTTTCTCCTGCCCAGGAATCGTTTCCGCTTCCACTGTGTCTGCCAAGCAGCAAATTAACAGCATCGAACATGTGGTCTTGGTGGAGGCAGTTCTGGTGGAATCTCAGGTTCTGGTTGTAATGAAAGGATACTGTTGGACAACTCATTCCTTAAAATATCCAGAGGCATCTTGAGAACAAAGGAAAAAGACAAATAAACCTTGTTTGGTAAATACAGTTCACTAAACAATATATATTCCAATGCTTTGTAAATGACACAAAACAAAGTATTGTTATATAAGCTTCTCTAAACAGTAGTTTAACTAGATATTATGTTTCAGACTAAACGCTAGGCTCATGGAAATTCATGTAAAAACACTTATTTATTTAATACTCTTTGTTAAAGGAGGACAGACCAACTTCATAGATAATTGATGGCTACAGAAATTTTTTTCATAGAACCCAGCACAATCAAATGTAATATTATCAGTGTTCACTAAAGCTCTCTAGCTCTATGACACAGCCTCACTGAGGTGCAAGTCCAGGTGAGAGATGTCCAATGCAAATAAGTGGGCATCAAGGGTGTGAAGTATTGTTGTTGTTACGTGCCACTGAGTCGTTTGCGACTCACAGCCACCCTACGTACAAGAGCCCTAAATGCCGTTCTATCCTGTGCCACTCTCACTGTCTCAAACACATTCATTCCCACCACTCCACTCAGAGAATCAATCCATCTCATCGAGTCTTCCTCTCCTGCACCGTCCCTCCACTCTCCCAAACATGATGTCCCTCTCCAAAGACCAGTTCCTCCTTGCAACATGCCCAAAGTATGTCAGATGAAGCTTCAGAATCCTTGACTTCAGGGAACATTCTGGCTTCACCCTCTCTAGGACAAACCTGTTTGTTCTCCTA